TAATTTCTCAAAAATTCTAATGCATCTGGGAGGTAACTTTATTATCATTTCATTAATAAGTATTGCCATTGTGAAGTAATGGTATTGATAGTTCCTTTCCTTTCTTTCAGGGGGTAGGAGAAGAAAAAAAGTTAAAAAACGACTACTATTTTGCAGCCATTAAGTAAACTGCTGTTATAATGAAGTTTTCCCAGAAAATGCTAATGACTTGTAAATATGTTGCATTAAACCATGGCAGTTTAGGGCCAGATGAGTATCTGTTCAGCCCTACAAATCAAGAATAAAGGCCCACCTACTATTGATTTCACAGGCTGTAAGAATAAGGGATTTTGGGCTGTCAAATTCTTGGGTAAAATTTTTCTCTAGAGATAATAGAACTGAGAATAAATAAGTATCACATCTACTTGATCCCTCTATAAATGAATTTTGTTCCTTTTGAAATAATGACTAAATAGCTTACTATTATATAGCACTTAGTGTAATGTTTTATTTCATTTTTTTAAGAATTCATTAGACATTAAAATGGCAAAAGCTTTCTACTACAAAACAGTCAGTAAGCTCTCTTAAGAACACTACCTCATGAAAACCTCAAAACCACCTATGAGGTGTTAATATCCTCCTTTCTTAAATGAGGAGCCCAAAGATTTATGGATTAAATAAACAGCCAAGTTATGCAGTAACAAAATACAAAGCTAGGATCTAGTGCTTAATTTTTTTAGTATTTATCTACTAAGGCAGATATTTTCCAAAACATATATAATTATATAACATACAGAGTTAGATATAAAAACTTACTTCATAAATTTAAAATGAAATAAAATTTTAAATTAGGACAATTGATGTTTTAGAAAAGGTGCTACAGAATTACAGTTTTATTTTTCATCTCTGCCAGTTTCTTATTCAGCATCACAGACCAAGTAGAGTTTTGGTACTAAAATCTGCTTGAAATGTGTTCTTTTTAAAATGTAGACATTGTAATTCTGCTTTTTTCCAAGTAAATAGGCAAGATGTAAAAAGGTATTTCCCATGGTAGTTATTAAAATCTCCAGTCACTGTATCTTCACTCTCTATAAATGACTTTCTTTTCTTCACTCATCAGAAGGGCTACCATTGGAATGGCCAATATTTTGTATTTTCACAATTGATAAAGAAACAGAACAGATTACAATTAGGAAGGGAGTCTAGCTCACACTAAAAATAATTTGTAATAAATTCTCAGAATTCTGAATTTATTGAAAATTACATGCCTTGTTTAAAGATCTTTTTAATCTGTTTTGAGGCTTCAAATTTATGCAACATATTTAAATCTCTATTAAAATAGCTTTTTTTTTAGGTTTCTCACCAACTGCAGGACTAATTCTATGGACTATTTCAACTAGTGATGGATGTAGAGAGGACAATAGATCCTAGTCAAAGACATCCATCCTGGGGCCCTCCCTGGTGGCATAGTGGGTTAGCACAACACTATGAAGCTAGCCACAACTGCCTCAGTGCAAGTTTGATTCCCAGCTAGGCAGGTGATCCACAGGGCACAGAAGACCTCTCCTGTCTTACCTGCTGCTCCCCTCAGCAGTATACTTTGTCAATCTGCCTATTCTGCTTCCCACTCTGTCTCTAGTGATTCTTCTCACTGCCCCTGCAATTATGGCCTATACCCCAGTTCAGTATGCATGAATAAATAAATCGTAAAAAAAAAAAAAAAAAAAAAGACACCCATCCTCCAGCTTCAGGCAATGGGGAGGTGGTAATCACATGACTGAGATAGTTCATCACCAAGGTTCCATGATAAAACATGCTACAATTTGTATAGTTGACAGAATAAAGCTCAAGGAACCTATACCACTTTCTCTACAATATACAAAGCTTCTCTTCATGTCTTGAATTTGAAAAAATGAAGACTGACATTCCTTGAGCAGATAATCCAGTGGTTTAGATCCTCAGTCCTGTTGTTCTCTTTTGTCTTGAGGAATGGCACATGTTATAAAGCATGAGGAAATCCAAATTTCCTATTTAGAGCCTGTAGTTCATTAACAAGAGTATACTCATTTATTTCAAGGATCAATGGGTTATGGAAAAGAATATCTCTTCTCATGTCATTCAAGTCCCAAACTATTCACCTAAAAATGGTTTAGAAACACTATAAGCTATGAACATAATTCATCTTTGTTGTGACACTGTCTTGTTACGGCCCCTGTTCTGTTTTTGACTTGATCACTCTTCAGGTAAATAACTGTGTTGTTTTAATTGAGTGCAGTGATTTAAATTTTTATTTATATTACATTGTAATTTTCCTCTGAAAATTGTTTTACTACTTACTTCCCAATGTAGTTTTGCCTAGAAGAAACAGTACTTTTAATTGTACATTTTACCAGACTATTTTTGCTGTGTGTGTGCTTTAAAGCTAACCATCTAAATTTGAAAAATATTGCCTGCTCATGACACTACAGAGTTAGACTGGAAACAAGGGTTACTACAACACTGAGAAGCAGGATGCAGTGAATAGAGCCTTCAGAGACTCAGCAGGGGTCCTCAATCCTGGGACTTTACTGAACATAAATTATCTCATTTGTAAAGTACAAATTTTAGCACCAACCATGTGCAGGTTGCTTAAAGATTATAGACAACATGTCTGAAGACATATACACTACTGCTAGTTCTTACTTGTTATAGTTTTGCCACTAAACTGCTATGTCATCAAAAGAGCTCTTCCTTTCTCTGTGTTACATTTCAGGTTTGTCTCATAGATAAGAGGGCAGCATTAGGTAATTTCTATTTCTCTGTCAAAACTTTGTTAATAAGTGAACTCTCTCTATTGATTATTCGTATAATTTGATATTAACCAGGGTTTTTCAATGTTAGACTTTCCTACGTGTGTAAAGATGACATTGGTTGGAATTTGGACGCTCTGAGGACAAGATGACAAAACCAATATGGTTAGCAGAAGTGTTTTCAGGATGGAATGTTGAAAAAGAACCAGGGCAAGAGCAATCACACTTGGGAGATAAAACCATAGGTTAGTGGCTAAATCATCTGCTTAAAGAACTTGTATTGTGATTCCCTATCAGTTTTAATGAGTTAGCCTAAAAAAAAATTACTGGAAAAGTTTAATCGACCTGCTTAATCTCAGTTTAATCATCTTGTATACCCACCAGCTACCTAGGTCTTTGAATTCCCATGGGAAAAAAGGAGCTAAATACATTAAGGTAATCTTTATACTTATTATTTCTACTTACAACACATTTATAGCATCTGTTTATCTGCCTTGCAGAGCTAACAATTTTTTAAAATGGCCTTTAAGCCTTATTTGTCTTCTATTGTAGTAGGTTATATTTTTGAATGCTTTTACTTTGATTTTGTACATTCTTTTGAAATAAATTTTGCAAAAACAACGTGATTAATCCATAAACCATGTTTAATAATTCAAACCATAAAAACAGCAACACAAAATTTGCAGTTTGAGAAGATACATATTCTCATTTACAAATGTATCAGAAGGGGCACCCTTTCTCCTGCTTGTTTCTCTTGTTTGAAAACAAAACAACGGTTCTTGTGTAGACCTTTCTTATCTTCAATCTGTACTCTCAGCTGGGAGTACATAGACTTGATGTGAAAATCAGTATTAGCCATGGGGTTGAGGACATGGTTATCTAGACTCTCACTGATAGTTTTCTCTGATCTAACAACTTGTCTTGAAATAACTTATAATAAGTAACAATAACAGTAACAAAATACTCAGAGCAGTAACACTATGATCCATATTCCTTTGAACTTTTAATAACAGGCTTGATGATGCAGTACTTTACATACTTTAGAGAATGTGCTGCTTGTATTGATAAAATATGTACATAAGGTAGTCTAGAAATTTCATATATTAACTTGAACCCATTTATAGTGGTCAATTAGTATCATTAACACTACATATTCTCTAAAACAAGAAATCAACCATTTTTAAAGAAGGTACCAAAGCATGACTGTCTTTTAAAAGGTCCATTTTATTCCAGTCACTAAGTATGGCATTTCTGGGTCTAATTTGAGATCCTCACCACATCATAAGACTTCTTCAATAATAGTTTGTATTAATTATCGCCAGAAGGATCATAAAGATGCTGTTTGCCACTTCTCCTGCAATATATTCAATTCCCTTCTCAACTACAACATTGCAAAGCCCTGTTCAAGAAGAACAGAGAAAGAAACAAAAACAAAAATATTGCTTATCTTTCCCAATTTTAAGGTATTCCTAAGGTTGGAAGAAAGCATACAACTTCCTTCTTATGAAGTCTTTACACACTAGCCCATATTTGTATTGTATTATTTTTACATGAATTCAGACAGTGGCACAAATAGAAAAAAAAAGGTAATTCAAGCTATGGGAAACACTCCCTCAAAGAAGGTCAGATGATTAACTTAAATTCTCACTTTCTATACAGGAAGAGAATGAAACTCATGTCAGGACAAGGGGGAGGTGGAATGATCTCAAAGTTTTTTTTAAAGTATTTATTTTCCTTAAGACTCTCAAAAGAACTCAAGATTCTGGCTATTAAGTCGTCTGACAAGAAAGGGGCATTACCTTGTGTGGCTGTGCTTTTCAAGACAATCTTAGAGAACACTTTAGTAGGAAAAGCCACACATCTTATGAACAAGTGACAAAGGAAAAGCAAAGATGGAGATGGTTGAAGCTGGAGAGGACAGTGGCTTTCTGTTCGAGAACAGTAGCAAACATCATGCCCAGGAGCAAGTTGAAATTAGTTAAAGGTGGCAGAATTTGGAGAATCACTGCTCCAGGGCAAATCTCACTTCAGCCAAATGGGAAGAATAGGAACAATTCACTACGTGGTACTGTGTTATAGTCTCAAGAGTTACTTTGCTTTTCCTACTTTGCTTTTCCTACCATGTTGGGCTGGCTTTTCTCAGCATGAATGCAGCTCTCTTTGACAGATAAAACTCAACTAACAGTAACAATATAGAGAAAACTAGAAAAACAAACACAGGGAAACCAGTATCTACTTCAAGTTACTACAGGTTTCGTGAGGCTGCACCCTGTTTTTACCCAGGCCCCTCAGCAGGCCAGGTCTCAGAGCCTCAGCATCGCCTCCTCCCTCAATCTGCTTGGTGTCCTCTCTTTTGGTAGCCTTCCGTTTCCTAGACCTCGAGAGGGTCTGGCAAACACAGCTTAGGAAATGACCAAAGCAGAGTGGTGGTGATGCCAAACACGTTACTGTAGGAGAAGAGGTTCCCGGCTGCTGAGACATCGAAAGCTCACAGGACTGGATCTGACATTCCTGATGCTTCTCACAGGCACCCTCATCCTGCTGACTCTGTAATCTGACCTGCAAGTAGAAGGAAATTAGAAGTAAAGCCTTCAGGCCTTCCCTGGTGGCGCATTGGGTTAAAGCACAGCACTAAGAAGCTAAAGCCACTTCAGCACGCGTTAGATCCCTGCCCTGGAGGTGACCCACATGGCCCGGCAGACCTCTCCTGACCCGCCTCCTGCTCCCCCTCAGCAGTGTACTTTGTAGATCTGCCTGTCCTGCTCCTTACTCTGTCTCTGGTGAATTCTCTCACAGCCCCTGCACCTCTGGCCTGTACCCCAGTTCTGTATGCATAAATAAATAAATCTTAAGAGAAAAAATGTTCACAATGTGAAAGCACATACAGCGAGAAGATGCCCCTCTGAGCCACGCTCTGTCTGGACTCAAGGACTTCATTTTGTTTCTCAAGTTTCCATTTCCAATTTCTCCCCCTCCAGGTGAAGAGTTGTCATTATTTCTCTTTTGGAATTTGATAAGCCCAGAATTTTACCACCTCAAGCCTCAGCCTTACCTCAGCGGGAAGGCCAGGATCGTCCTCCTGAGCAGCGAACAGCGTTGGCTTTGGATCAACCACCTCATCCTCCTCACTCTGTGGCGGCGCCAAAGGTATTGGAATGATAGGTGGGCAGTGGGTCTCCATGGTCTTCTTTCTCTTGCTCATTTTCATTCTCTTTGTTCTAACAACTTTCCTAAGATACCGGTGCTTTTTGGGGAGTGGCTCTAGCTTTCTCCTCTGGACTGGAGGCATGACAGGATCTGGTGAAATGTCACCTACATGACTCTCAGATATCCCCTCCAATGACTCTGATGATGACTTCAAACTTCTCTTCATAGGGTCATTCTCCACTAAGTAGTATTGATGCTTTGGATCTTGCTTATCTGGAGATACATTCAGATCACCAGTGTCATGTTTTGGGGTGGAGACTGGAGAATCCCAACTGCTCTCCTGCAGGGTTGGCTTTGCTTTTTGACTCACTATGCTGACCCCAGCCAGCTTAGCAGGAACAAGGAGTTAGCAACAAAAGACACTTTTTGCAACAAATGCTAAAGGAAGTAGCTATACCCTGATTTTTCTCTGTGATTTATCCTAAGCTATCATAACCACAACAGCTGTAAAGATCTGTTTTCCCTTCTGGATTTATCTAAAGGAAGTCAACAGCCTTAAAAAAAGAAGCTTCAGTAAAGTTTTCAGGCTTTCTTGTTGGCCTGGGAGAACACCGATTTCCTAAAAGGAGAGAAAAAAATTATTGATGCAATTGATCTATAGACCTTGGGGTTTCTCTTAGCCACACAAAAACTATGGTTTAATAAGATTCTAATAAACCTAGCATAAATTCCTGGGCAGAATCAATTTTTAGCAACTTATTAAAATTTCAGCGCAGTATTTCTGGCAGTAAAAAATTATGTATATCAACACAGGTGCAGATTTCAGGGCAGTTGCCTAGACCTATAATCGGAATCTCCCAGTTTTGGTGTCCTTACCTGAGGAAGCTCTCCCCAAGGGCGACATAGACTCATAGGCAGGGGTGTTGTTCATTCCAAAGAAGTTATGTTCCAGACAAGATGCATTGAGTTACAACACATGAATTTCTCTGGATCTAGCATCTATGATTTCTCACATCAGAAGTTATTGGGTATAAAATACTCATGAATTCACATGTCACACTCTGAGCTTATTTTTCTCCACAAACAACTTGCACTTTACCTACTTTGACTGATTTTCCCCCACTTCATTATATTACCTGAAACAAAACTGAAAGTTTTAAATCCCTTGGATAAATGTGCTGCCTATACATACTCTAAGCCAACTTAGAAGCCTGAAACAACAAACTCCTGGTTATTGGACTTCTGGCTAATCCTATGGAAGAGACTACAGAAAAATTTCATTAATTATTATTGACAGTGAAATGACTATCCTTTTTTAGAAAGGGGAAATAAATGATTGGCATGAACCATCTTGGCTTCTCAGTGACTCTGGAGAATTAAATAACTGAAGCATCAGACAACAATTTTCTTTGAAAATGACCTTTCATATTAAATGAAAAGCTGAAGAGCTAGTCTCAAAGGGAAAGAAAATGAATAATCAGTGAGGGCAACTACTCATTCCTGAGTATCAGTGAAAAAGAAATAAGATATGAGAGTAAATATCATAGCCTGCTGTATTTTAAATTCAGCATATGATTACTACCAGGGAAATATTTATAGAGATCCTACTAGGAATCAATCACTGGGAAAGGTGCTTTTACATGGCCATCAATAATCAATGCAATTTAAATTGTTTGTTTTCTAACAATTGGCACGCATGAGAACTCCATGGAGGGCTTTTAAAACTGATGGCTGCACCTCATCCTTCCTACTTCTGATTCCATAGGTCTAGATGAGCAAATGCGAATATACATTTCCACCAGGTTCCTGGTTGATGTGTCTAGTCTGCACTTTGAAAACCACTGAACTAAATAATTTTATTTGTAGGATGAGACCCATTGACTAAGAACAGATTTTCAAGTACAGGCTTTGAACTTATTGGGCATTCCTAGCCACTTACAACCAAATGAAGATGTATGGATTCTGGAATGATAATCTGCTAGATTGAATTATTCAGCCATCCTGCCTTATCACCTGCATTTTGAGTTTTTAGGCTATGACTTTAAGGCAGTGTGTTGCAGATGAAGGTATTATTGATGCTATCTCACAAATAGTTCTTCATTCCACAAGTGCCTGTCTTTCCACAACACTCCTTGTAGTCTCAACCTCAGATTAGTTATGACCTTCAGAATGTGAATATCAAGGAGGTTCTTGAACTATTAAATAGCTAGTATTGCACATATAATAGTTTTATTTTTTTAATAGTTTTTTTTCAAGAAATTAGTTCTCTTTATTAAGTACTTGCGCTTGTCTAAAATTTTATCTCATTTTAAAACTGTACCCCCTCCAGACTAAAAAGCAATGCAGAAAAAAAGAAATGCTGTAATCTTTGATTTAACCGATTAACATAATAACAAGTAACATACTCATTGGGTAGTTAAATCTGATAATATTTTGTGCTGAATGTTTCATAGTTATTCAATTAAAAATCCTATGGTCATCCACCAGAATATATACAGATCACCAAAGTATTACATATTTGGTCTTAAAGTAGTCTATATTAATTTGGTGTCTTTATGTATTAACCTCAATATTTCAAGGAGAACTTCTTCCAAATATAATTTACAGTGATCATTTATATTTGTGCTGTTTAAAAACCTCAGCTGGCTAATATCAATATGGTGCTTAATATTCCAATTAAAGAGAGGAAAACACTAATCAGAAAGCACATTAGAGTTGTATTGATATGACCACCAGAACATCACTTACAAGTTTGGAGAATCTATAGCTCCTCTAAGTCCTCCTTCAATCAGCAGTATCCCTGGCAAAGGAGTATTGCCATTTAATGCAAGCCGGGGCCACTCAAATTTACTGGATCATTTGGTCACATCTAATTCTGCCAGGGTTTCTAGCCAAAGAGTCAATGATGTTGGGCTCTCCTCATGCCTTTGCTAATGACAGCCGTGGAGCATTCCAGAAAACATTAGTATTTCCTTTCTTTAACTATAAATGGCACATAACTCTTTCAAATTTTTAGTCTATAATTTTTCACAAAACTCTTTGAGATCTTCTGGTAAAGATAAATGACAAGAACTATTAAACTTTAAATTGTTATCCTTCAGTGTTATATGCACTGGATCATAACTCTGTGGCCCTGGTTCCCTCATAAAACTAAACCACGAAGCCATTCTTTTCATTTTAAGTTTAGCACACAGCCCGTAGGTGAAGCAATATAAACACTCTTGAGCAATTACTCAAAACCAAATCTCCTGCAAAAACAGACTTGCAACTCACGGTGTATAATCTCTCTTCTGAACCTGTGAAGTTTGTAGTTTTCAGACCACCCAAGGAGGATAGTGTGGATAATATTAGGTGCTTCAGTGGGACAGGCCTGAGCACTATCTGTAATTATAGAACTTAGGTTGAATCCCAGTTTCACCACTCTGTTGGCCTAGATGAGTCAGGTGACTATTTGGGAGGGAGAGGAAAAAGTGAGCAGCTAGGTTTACAGATACTTCTTACCTCAGTTTTACAGAATTAGTTAAATCAGACTGTGAACTGTGACATAGTCACATCATTGTTCCATGCATGGTCTTTTTTTTTTTTTTTAATGTTTGCCTTACAAGTTCTTTTTCAATGTATATACTTCTAAGGTATATTTGAAAAAAAAAATCATGCAAAATATACCCTAGAAATATACATATAAATATTCATAGAGGCACTATTTGTAACATACAAAAATTGGAAAAAATCCAAATGTCCATTATCAGGATAAGGTGACAGACGCTCACATTGGAACAGTAAACAACAATCAAGTAAGGTACTCCAGTACCTGCACCGCCAGGCATTCATTTAATGTGTTGAGTTTCTGTTTTACCTGCTTAACAATGATACCATCTGTCCTATCCTTTTCTGAGGATTAAGCAGATATTATATATATAAATCCTTTGAAAATTACAACTACTAGCTGTTAGTTATTTTCCTCCTATATTCTCTATTACTTCTTTGGTTATTTAAGAATAACATGGTACCATAATAGAAAAGAACAGAAAAGCAATATAATCTAGAGGAGACAAAGGGGGTATCATACTGCAGGGTTCAAATCTCTTATCCAACATTTATTTCAGGTAAGTTACTTAACTTCTCTCAACCTCATTTCTCACTCATGTAAAGAAAACCAAATTATACCAACTTAACAAGGGTCCATTGAGGAAATTTAAGAACTTAGTGCATTGCCCAATATACCATAAGTATTCAGATTATTGATAACGATTATATTAATAGGACTATTATATTAATATGTCAAGTGGTTCTTTTCCCTGTCCTTACTCAGCCTTCAATCTTCCAACACAACACAACACAACATACACATACATACTCTTTTGCACGCATATATTTTTCTTTGTGCCTGTTACTCAGTTTTCTATATCTAGATCAAGGGCAGTAAATAAACACAATAATTAGGTTCAGAGTTCCAACCATGGCATCAGGGAAAAAATTGGCACAAATATCAGGCCCTATCAGCACTGAACTGTAATAGTGAAAAAGCAATACAAAAACTGTTCATGCATTTAGTACACCCATGTTAACTACTACCTACCAACAAGAGATATGCACACACTCATGCCTGTCACATTATTAGTCCAATTAATTTAGAAGAATAACCACAGGACCATCCTCGGAAGTCAAGCATCTTCTCTTCTAGATGTGAATGTGCATGAGAGGTAGAAAGGGTCATTTCATAAGCCAAGAATGTTCTTTGCAACTGTGGCAGCCTACTCTGCACAAGGGCAATGACCACTGGCAGCCTGGACCTCTGGACTGTGCAGATGCTGCCGATCAGCAACTGGCAAGTGCCTTCCTAATTGATGTCAGCTTCTCCAATGAGCAAGGGATCTTCATCTTCAGCTGGATAGGTATTCACGAGCAACTGCTCCTGGATGTGCCAAAGGCTTATAATTAACAGCTGTGTACTGCAATTAATTTTTATTTGTGCCTTAGATAATCATGCAAAATATTATTTCTTTTATATGACAGATTCATAATCCATGCCCAGTTTCAAAATAGTAATAAGAAAAATAAGAAAAAAATAGTAATAAGAAAATAAGGGAAAAATAAGAAAAAATAGTAATAAGAAAATAAGATCAATTTTGTCTTTAGCTT